AACAACAACAAAACTTTATTAAACAAACATGGAAGTAGGACAATTTCCTCTTGTGGCTTTTAAAACTTTGGGGTCATCATTCTAAGACTCGCTCATATACACCGCTGTGGTAATATGAGAGTATCGAAATACAGATACTATGTATATCTTTTCTTCTGTTGAATCAACCCACCACGCTCATGTCAATAGATTCTCAACGGAAACCTTTAGGGGGTGACGAACCCCTTGCGCCTTCGTACATAATCCATTGTATGCCATTGGTTCACTATTACAGTCACTGTTTGATGGGGCAAATATTGTCTATATTTATTCCCAATTGTTTTTATTTTTCTCTAGTTTCAATTGATTTCACCTTATTTATTTGAGTTCCTTCTTTTGTTTTTTTTGTTGTTGTTGTTGTTGTTGTTTTTTTTGTTATTGTTTTTGTTTTTGTTTTTTTTTTTGAGACGGGGAGTCTCGCCTCTGGGTCGCCCAGGCTGGAAGTGCAGTGGCAGATCTCAGCTCACTGCAACCTCCACCTCCCAGGTTCAAGCGATTTTCCCGCCTTGGCCTCCCGAGTAGCTGGGACTATAGGTGAGCACCACCACGCCCAGCTAATTTTTGTATTTTTAGTAGAGGTGGGGTTTCACCATGTTAGCCAGGATGGTCTCGATCTCCTGACTTCGTGATCCACCTGTCTCGGCCTCCCAAAGTGCTGGGATTACAGGCTTGAGCCACCGCGCCCGGCCCGTTTGTTTGTTTTTTGAGATGGAGTCTTGCTCCGTCGCCCCGGCTGGAGTGCAGTGGTATAATCTCGACTCACTGCGACCTCTACCTCTTGTGTTCAAGAGACTCTCCTGTCTCAGCCTCCCTAGTAGTTGAGACTACAGGCACCAGCGATCACATCTGGCTAATTTTTGTATTTTTAGTAGAGATGGGGTTTCACCATGTTGGTCAGGCTGGTCTTGAACTCCTGACCTCAGGCAATCCGCCTGCCCCAGCGTCTCAAAGTGCAGGCATGTTACTAGAGGCGCATGACCACCTGCTGCCGCGCCATTTCTGAGGACTGTTCTTTTCTTTTTTTTTTTTTCTTTTTTTTTTTTTTTGTTGCGTTTAGTGACCAGGAACTTGCCTCTGTCACCCAGGCTGCGAGAGCTGGAGTACAGTAACGCTGGAGAGCTGGAGTACAGTAACGCAATCAGTGGCTTACTGCGCAGCCTTGCAATCCTAGCCCTCAGCGATCCTCCCCGGCCTTTGACCTCCGCAAAGTGCTTCACGCCACGTGGCCTGGCCCTTCTTCCTTCTTCTATACATGGAAGCTATAATTTCCCCTCTAAATAGCTCTGCGTTAGCTGGATCTTGATATCCCCTTAGTCCCTGTGCGTTGTTCTACTTCTTCTTTTATTTTAATCTCAAAAACTTTTTCCTAAATTCCCTTTTGAGGTTTCTTCTTTGACACGTCGGGTCATCTGGAAGTCTGTTTGTTTATTTTGCGTTATTTTACTGTATTATTATTTTTTTGAGCATGGACGTCTCGACTCCGTTCGCCCAGGCTCCGGAGTGCAGTGCGCGATATTGGTCACTGCATCTGCCTCGCGCGGCGTTCAACGTGATTCTCCTCGCCGCAGTCTTCCAGCGTAGCTGGGGTTACAGGCGCCCGCCCACTCCGCCCAGCCCTAATTTTTTGCTATTTTTGGTAGAGACTGGGTTGTCACCATGTTGGCCCAGGGCTGATTCTGACAAAACTCCTGACCTTGGGGCGCGGGCGTGCGTGCGCTCACACCTGTAATCCCAGCACTTTCGGGAGGCGAGCGCGGGCGGCATCACCGAGGGTCAGGAATCGAGACCATCTCCTGGGCGCTAACTGGTCGCAAACCCTGTCTCTATTAAAAATATAAAAAATTAGCCAGGCGTGTTGGCAGGTGCCTGTAGTCCCAGCTACTTGGGAGGCTGAGGCAGGAGAAAGGCATGAACCCAGGAGGCAGAGCTTGCAGTGAGCTGATGGGAGACAGCGAGACTCCATCTCAAAAAAAAAAACTCCTGACCTCATGATTCTCCTGCCTCAGCCTCCCAAAGTGTTGGGATTACAGGCGTGGTCACCATGCCTGGCCAAAAAATATGGAATGCTTCATGAATTTGCGTGTCATCTTTGCACAGGGGCCATGCTAATCTTCTCTGTATCATTCCAATTTTTAATATATGTGCTGCCGAAGTGAGCACTATTTCTTTATCTTATTTTAATATTTTGTATTTTTTAAGAAACAGACAGAGTTTTGCTCTGTTGTCCAGGCTACAGTGCAGTGGCGTGATTATGGTTCATGGCGTGTTGAACTCCTGGGTACCAGCCAACGTCCTGCCTCAGCCTCCCTAGCAGCTGGGCCTACAGATGTTTGCTACCACATCTGGCTTACTTTTTAAATTTTTTGTAGAGACAGGGTCTTGCCGTGTTGCCCAGGCTGGTCTTGAACTCCTGGGCTCAAACAGTCTTCCCACCTTGTCTCTTAAAGTGCTGGGATTATTATGCCTTTGCACCCAGCCATCATTTTATTTACTTATCCATTCGAAGTAAATTGTAAACATCAGTATTTGTCACCCCTAAACATTTCAGCAAGTATATCATTAGGTAGAGTACAATATTTGTTTATGATTCTTTCTTTCTGGTAAGCTTTGTGGAAAGATTCTTTGTTTATATCGGTGAAATGCATAAATCTAAAATGTACAGTTGGCTGGGCACAGCGGCTCACACCTGTAATCCCGACACTTTGGGCAGCTAGGGCAGGAGCATTGCTTGAGCCCAGGGATTCCAGACCAGCCTGAGCAACATAAGGAGACCCCGTCTTTACAAATATATATATTTTTAATTAGCTGGGCATGGTGGTGCCCACCCTGGGAGGCTGTGGTGGGAGGATCACTTGAGTCCCAGAGGTTGAGCCTGCAATGAACTGTGATCACACCACTGAACTCCAGCCTGGACAATAGAGTGAGATCCTATCTCAATAAAAACAAAAATAAAAAGAGAATTTAATAAAATAAATAAATTTAAATGTAATAAAACAAAATAAAATATATGAGCCAAGGAGTTCTAACAAATGCACAGAGCTGTGTGACCTAAGGTATGGAACATATCCATCACTCCAGAAAGTTGCTTTAGACATGCGAACATTTCAACTTAGTTTGAGTCATGCTTATAACCGGTTTTACAGCATTTTATCCAATTAATAATATAGAAGGTTTAATTCATCACTTTGTGGTTTGTCCTGAAGCTTGCTAACCCATTACATCAGAAAGCCAACCCAGCTAATTTGAAAGTGGGTGAGTCAGTGAATGGTGAATAAGTAAACACAAGAGTGAATAAAGAATAGAGGGATGAATGAAAAGGTAAATAAATCAGTCGGATGCAGTGGCTCACGCCTGTAATCCCAACACTTTGGGAGGCCGAAGTGGGCAGATCACGAGGTCAAGAGATCGAGACCATCCTGGCCAACATGATGAAATCTTGTTTCTACTAAAAATACAAACATTAGCTGGGCATGGTGGCACACACCTGTAGCTCCAGCTACTCAGGAGGCTGAGGCAGAAGAATCACTTGAACTCAGGAGACAGAGGTTGCAGTGAGCCGAGATCACACTACTACCTCCAGCCTAGGAAACAGAGCGAGACGCCTTCTAAAAAAAAAAAAAAAATCAATGAATGGGCCAGGCACAGTGGCTCATGCCTGTAATCCCAGCACTTTGGGAGGCCGAGGCGGGTGCACCACCTGAGGTCAGGAGTTCAAGACCAGCCTGGCCAATATGGCAAAACCTTGTCTCTACTAAAAATACAAAAATTAGCTGGGTGTGGTGGCAGGTGCCTGTAATTCCAGCTACTTGAGAGGCTGAGGCAGGAGAATTGCTTGAACCGGGGAGGTGGAGGTTGCAGTGACCTGAGACTACACCATTGCACTCCAGCCTGGGCGACAAGAGCAAAACTCTGTCTCAAAAAATAAACAAATAAAAATAAAAACAAAACAAGAAATCAATTAATGATGAAATCAGCAAAAGAGTGATTTGATGAATGCATGGTTGGGTGGATAGATGGAGAGATGAAAAGATAGATGAATGGATAACTTTCCAGCTTGAGTTGGAAAAGGGTAAAAAAATAGATAATGAAGAGATGAATGGATATTTGGATAGAAAGAGATGGAAAAGTGATGAATGGCTGAATGGAGGGATGAATGGGCATATGGAGGACAAATGGATGAGTGTGATGAAAGCAGAGAATTACATGGACAAATAGAGGGATGAAGAAATGAATGGATGGACGAAAGTTAGATGTAAGGATGGCTGAATGAATAGACAGATGGACTGGTAGATGGTTAGATGTTTGGATGGATGGAGAGGATGACGGATGGTTAGATGCATGGGTGATGGATAAAGTGTCGAATGAAAGAATGGTTGGATGTTTGGATGAGTGGGTGAACATATGGTTGATTGGATGTTTGGAGAGATTGACCATGAGATGATGAGTGCAGAGGTAAATGGATGGGTGGATGGGTAGGTGGATAAAAGGTTGGATGAAAGATGGTTGAACCATCTGATCAATGGATGGATTGATGAGGTCTAGATGTTGGATGTTTGATTGATGGATGGTTGGATGGACTTTTGGTTGGATACATGAGTGGAGAGATGGATCCATGGATGTATGGAACGAGAGGCTGTATAGTGGTTAGGTGTGCATATCCTTGGGAGCCAGATCAGCTGGATTTGAATCCTCCTTCTGCCATTTATGCACTGTGTAATTTGGGCAATTTGTTTCATTTTCCTTTGTTTCCTCATCTGTTACAGAGGGATGATAATAATTGTTTCTACCTCTTGGGGTTGCTGTGAGAAATGAATGAGCCCTAAATCAGTGCTTGGGGCATAACCAGGTTTATGATGATGGGAGGATGGATGGTCAGATGACTGGATGGATGAAGGATAGATGAAGTGCATGACTGAATGAAGGAAGGGAAGAGTAGTGGGGGAGCAGATGGAGACACACACTCATGAGACACCCTCAGACATTTTATTAGGGGCTTAGAAAGGAGTCCTAGGGGATCATTCTATTTTCCCATGAGTTATGGCCCCAGGAATAGATTAGATCTGGACATAGGACAAGGTAACATCACCCTGGATTTCCACCGTGTCTACCCTCTGAAAGGCCAAGAAGCGATGGGCGAAGTCAAAGAGGTGCTGGCCATTGGCGAAAACCTTGAAGCGATCCAAGCCACAGCGAATGGACAGCTGCAGGGAGAGTGGGGGGCGTGAGGCCAGGGCCAGGACCAAGGCCCTGGAAGGAAGTGGGAAAACAGAACCCAGACTCACATCAAAGAACTGTCCGGGACCAAATGGGTTATGCGTGATCTTCTTCTCCTCGGATCCCCACGAGCCTTTCAGAAGGCTGTTCCGGACCACGGTACCGTCGCCCATGCGGGGATTAATGTGCAAAGCTATGTCCCCCGTGGAGCCCACCTTGAAGTTGATGGCAAAGCTGGGGACAGAGAGGGAGCAGGGAGTCAGATGGAGTCCAATGGGGAGGGGCCTGTGGGCTGGACCTCTGAGTCCCTAAAGGAGGAGGGGACAGAGGGTCTAGACTGTTGGGTCTGAGGAGGCAGGAGGGGGCTGGGGGTTCCCACCTAGTCTACGTTATACCTCTTGCCTGTGGGGGGCACATAGCCCTTGATGATGATGGTTCTTCGAGCCGTGAGCCCTCCTTGCAGCCTCCCGAAATATGGCACAGGCTGTAGGAAGAGAATGGGGGGGTCCCATTCTCTCTCAGCTTAGCAGAGCCAGATGTGGGAAGAAATTTTATTTTTCTTTTCTTTTCTTTTTTTTTTTTTTTTTTTTTGAGACGGAGTCTCGCGCTGTGTCACCCAGGCCTGGAGCGCAGTGGCGCGATCTCGGCTCACTGCAAGCTCCGCCTCCCAGGTTCACGCCATTCTCCTGCCTCAGCCTCCGAGTAGCTGGGACTACAGGCGCCCGCCACCACGCCCGGCTAGTTTTTTGTATTTTTTAGTAGAGACGGGGTTTCACCATGTTAGCCAGGATGGTCTCGATCTCCTGACCTCGTGATCCACCCGCCTCGGCCTCCCAAAGTGCTGGGATTACAGGCTTGAGCCACCGCGCCCGGCCTCTTTTCTTTTCTTTCCTTTCTTTTTTTCTTATAAGAGATGGGGTCTCACTCTGTCACCCAGGCTGGAGTGCAGTGGCATTATCAAGTCTCACTGCAGCCTCGAGCTGCTGGGCTCAAGCAATCCTCCCATCTCAGCCTCCCGAAGTGCTGGAATTACAGGCATGAGCCACCACGCCCAGCCTTGCAGGAACACATTTTGTTTTCTTTTAGGCAGAGTCTCCCTCTGTTGCCCAGGCTGCAGTGGCACAATCTCAGCTAACTGCAACCTCTGCCTCCCGGGTTCAAGCAATTCTCCTGCCTCAGCCTCCCGAGTAGCTGGGATTACAGGCGTGTGCCACCACACCTGGCTAACTTTTGTCATTTTAGTAGAGATGGGGATTCACCATGTTGACCAGGCTGGTCTGGACCTCCTGACATCAAGTGATCCACCTGCCTTGGCCTCCCAAAGGGCTGGGATTACAGGCATGAGCCATACAAATTTTCTTCCTTTTTTTTTTTTTTTTGAGACAGAGTCTTGCTCTGTCACCAGGCTGGAGTGCTGTGGCACAATCCCGGCTCACTGCCACCTCCGATTTCCTGGTTCAAGTGATTCTCCTGCCTCAGCCTCCTGAGTAGCTGGGATTACAGGCACCCGCCACCACGTCCAGCTAATTTTTGTATTTTTAGTAGAGACGGAGTTTCACTATGTTGGCCAGGATGGTCTCGCTCTCCTGACCTCGTGATCTGCCCGCCTCGGCCTCCCAAAGTGCTGGGATTGCAGGCGTGAGCCACCATTCCTGGCCCAAGAACAAATTTTCTGAGAGGCCCTACTCCTCCTGGAAAACATCCCCAACCCCTTCCGCTCCCTAAACCTGACCACCAACTCCATCTACCCTCTCCCCACCTCCCACCCCAAACACCCTCAGCCCACTCTCTTTCTGGCTGTCTCAGGTTCCCCGGGGATCCGTGCCCCCCTCCCCCGACCATCCATCTCTGTTTCCCCTAAGCCATACCGGGTTGAAGGTTGGGGGTCCTTCCATGGTCTGTGAAGTGAGGAAGAAGCGATATTATTCTCCAGGAGTCAACAGATATCTACGACACACCCATTAGACTCCGGCGTTTCTCTAGGTGCTGGGTTAGTACACCTGGGGCTGCAACCCCTCTTAGCTTCCCCCACCCCAATTCTCACCATTCCCACTCCCCACCCGGGGGCATCTTAACCCTCCCACTCACGGGCAGGCTGTTCAGCTGTTGATGGCAATGTCCGGGACCCTGAACGATGGACAGAAGGCAGGAAGGGTGAGAGGGGCTGAGGGACCCCCACTAAGGGGGAAGACCCTCACCCGTCAGCAAGTACTTACAGGGTAAGGTGGCATCATTGGGGGTCCCTGTGGGCACAGAAAGAGAAAGCGGTTATGAGAGGGTCCCCACATTTGGGACTGAAAGATGTCGAGGGTGCCTGCCCCGGGGTGGCCCACCACCACCACCACTGTGCCAGGGAACTCTGGCATCAAAGGGTGGCACCCCAATCACAGATTCATGGAGAGGGGCACCCCATGTTGAGGGATTGCTGATGCCCAGTGAGTCACCCCAAAGTTGTAGGACAATGCCTGGACCATTCCATTCTCTGTACCCTTCCCCATGCTGTTCTCCTGCCGTCCCGGGGCCCTCACTCGCTGACCTTCATCTCAGTTTCCGCCTCTGTCTCTGTGTTTCTGTCTCTCTCTCTCTCTCTCTGTCTTGGCCACACCTCAGCGCAGGGGCTTCCTTCTGCCTAACACCTTTATTTATTTTATTTAATTTATTTATTTATTTGAGATGGAATTTTGCTCTCGTTGCCCAGGCTGCAGTGCAGTGGCACAATCTCGGCTCACCTCAACCTCTGCCTTCCGGGTTCAAGCGATTCTCCTTCCTTAGCCTCCCAAGTAGCTGGGATTACAAGCATGCGCCACCACGCCCAGCTAATTTTGTATTTTTAGTAGAGACAGGGTTTCTCCATGTTGGTCAGGCTGGTCTCAAACTCCCGACCTCAGGTGATCCGCTCGCCTCAGCCTCCCAAGTCTAACACCTTTAACTTTTACTCTCTGTCTCTCCCTTTCTCTCTGTTTCCTCGTCTTTTCTCCTCCTTGTAATTAACTCCTTTCTGTCTTGACTTCTATTCTCAGCCAGCTATCCCAAAGGCCCCTTAAAAGTAGCTTTATATAACCGGGTGTGGTGGCAGGTGTCTGTAATCCCAGCTACTTGGGAAGCTGAGGAAGGAGAATTGCTTAAACCTGGGAGGTGGAGGGTGCAGTGAGCTGAGATTGCGCCACTGCACTCCAACCTGGACCACAGAGCAAGACTCCATCTCAAAAAAAAAAAAAAGTAGCTTTATATGCCGGGCACTGTGGCTCATGCCTGTAATCACAGGACTTTGGCAGGGTAAGGTGGGTGGATCACCTGAGGCCAGGAGTTCGAGACCAGCCTGGACAACATAGGGAGAGTCTTCCCCTCTGTCTTTACAAAAAATTTAAAGATTAGCTGGGGATGGCGGCGTGTGCCTGTAGTCCCAGCTACTCAGGAGGCTGAGGTGGGAGGATCACTTGAACCCAGGAAGTCAAGAATGCAGTGAGCTGTGATTGCACCACCACACTCCAGCCTGGGTGACAGGGCCAGACCCTGCCTCAATAATAATAATAATAAATTAAATAAAATTGAGAAATTCAATTTAATTGCATGTTATTTATTTTTAATGATGGTGTTAAGCAACCTCTTGGGAATTCATTCACTATCGTGTGTTCTTTTCCCTTCCTTATCCTCACTTCCTGACTCACCTTACACACTTCCTCCTACACCAGGAAGCCCTGCCTTCCTGACCCATGGCTAGTCAAGCCCTTCCTTCAGGCTCCCAAAACCTCCTGCATACTCCACATCCCAGCCCCGACACCTCTGCCTGTGCCCTCCCTACCACAGCCCTGACCATTTCTTTTTTTTTTTTTTTTTTTTTTTTGAGACGGAGTCTCGCTGTGTCCCCCAGGCTGGAGTGCAGTGGCGCGATCTCGGCTCACTGCGAGCTTCGCCTCCAGGGTTCACGCCATTCTCCTGCCTCAGCCTCCTGAGTAGCTGGGACTACAGGCGCCCACTACCGCACCCGGCTAATTTTTTGTATTTTTAGTAGAGACGGGGTTTCACCGTGGTCTCAATCTCCTGACCTTGTGGTCCGCCCGCCTCGGCCTCCCAAAGTGCTGGGATTACAGGCGTGAGCCACCGCGCCCGGCCTAGCCCTGACCATTTCTGATGCCATGTCTGTGAGCCCGGTAAGGTCAGGGCCCAGAGATATCTCAGTCATTCCCGTCTCCAGCCCTGCCTAGCCCAGGGCCTGACCCCTCTGCCTGCCCCCACCCACCCCCTATCCTGGCCCTGATCCCTCTGCCTGGGCCCCAACCCAACTGCAACCCTTCAGCCTGGGCCTCCCCTTCCTGGCTCTGATCCCTTGCAGTGATGGGTCTGTCTTCCCAGTGGGCTCCCTTGATCATCACTGGGCTCTTGGCATCACTCAGCAGAGAGAGATGCTTGGGAAATAAATGAATGTGGAACCTGGCTGGGCACCATGGCTCACACCTGTAATCCCAGCACTCTGGGAGACTGTAGCCAGTGGATCTCTTGAGGCCAGGAGTTCAAGACCAGCCTGGCCAACATGGTGAAACCCCATCTCTACTAAAAATACAAAAATTAGCTGGATGTGATGGTGGGTGCCCATAATCTCCAGTTACCTGGGAGGCTGAGGCAGGAGAATCGCTTAAACCTGGGAGGCGGAGAGTGCAGTGAGCCAGAATCACGCCACTGTACTCCAGCCTGGGCGACAGAGCAAGACTTCATCTCAAAAAGAAAAAATAGGCCAGGCCCGGTGGCTCACGCCTGTAATCCCAGCACTTTGGGAGGTTGAGGCGGGCAGATCACCAGCTCAGGAGATAGAGACTATCCTGGCTAACACGGTGAAAACCTGTCTCTACTAAAATATTAAAAAATTAGCCGGGCGTGGTGGCGGGCGCCTGTAGTCCCAGCTACTCGGGAGGCTGAGGCAGGAGAATGGCGTAAACCCGGGAGGTGGAGCTTGCAGTAAGCCGAGATTGCGCCGCTGCACTCCAGCCTGGGCAACAGAGCAAGACTCAGTCTCAAAAAAAAAAGAAAAAAGAAAGAAAGGAAAATGAATGTGGAACTGAATTTAGAAAGGAAGGACGCAAGAAGGGTTGGGACCCCTCACACCTGGGGCGGGGGGAGCTGGCCTCCGATGAAGTTGATTGATTGAAGTTGCAGATCCCCATCCACTTGCAGGTGGGTGACCATCTGCAGGGGAAGCCGGTGCCCATACTCATAGAAGGAATTTCCATTTACCACCACCTGGAGGGCAGAGATGGGAGGTCAGGAGTCAGCACCCATGATCCTGGGAAGGTAGAAACAGGAAGCAGGGGCCGGGTGCCATGGCTCACACCTCTAATCCCAGCACTTTGGGAGGCTGAGGTGGGCGGATCATTTGAGATCAGGAGTTCGAGACTAGACTGGCCAACATAGTGAAACCCCGCCTCTACTAAAAATACAAAAATTAGCCAGGCGTGGTGGCATGCGCCTGCAATCCCAGCTACTCGGGAGGCTGAGGCAGGAGAATCGCCTGAACCCGGGAGGTGGAGGTTGCACTGAGCCAAGATCATGCTGCTGCACTCCAGCCTGGGCGACAAAGCAAGACTCTGTCTCAAAAAAAAAAAAAAAAAAAAAAAGCAGGAGACAGGGATCTTTTTCATTGGGAGTTGAAAGTCTTGGGGATGAGCTGGGACAGCCTCAGCATCAGGAACCTTGGAGTCCACAGCTCAGAGGCCAAGCTAGGGTCAAAAGTCAGCTCACTGGCCAGGTGCGGAGGCTCATGCCTGTAATCCCAGCACTTTAGGAGGCCAAGGTGGGGGGATCATTTGAGATCAAGAGTTTGAGACCAGCTTGAGCAACATAGCAAGACCCTGTCTTTACAACATAGCAAGACCCTGTCTTTATAAAAACATACAAAAATTAGCCGGGCGTGGTGGTGTGCACCTGGAGTCCCAGCTACTCCGGAGGCTGATGTGAGAGGGTCACCAGAGCCTGGGGAGGTTGAGGGTATAGTGAGCTGTTTGCATCACTGCACTCCAGCCTGGGCAACAGAGCGAGACCCAGTCTCAAGAGAAGAAAAAAAGTACATGGTTTGCAAAAAACACAAACTGGTGGGAGGAAATACACATGAAATGTATTACAAGGCTCTCAGCAGTAGGGTAATGGGACTAAGGAAAAGAGCTAAAAGAGGATTTTAAAAAATAGGCAGGAAAGAAGGAAAAGAAAAGAAAGAAGTTGACATAAAAAGTGGGGATGGAACAAGGAAAGAAAGGAAGGAGGGAGGGAGAGAGAAGGAAGAAGAGAGGAGGGAAGGGGGGAAGGAAGGAGGGAAGGAAAGAGGAGAGAACGGAGAAACAGGAAGGAAAAAGAGGAAAAAGAAGGAAGGGGCCGGGCACGGTGGCTCACGCCTGTAATTCCAGCACTTTGGGAGGCCGAGGCGGGCAGACCACCTGAGGTCAGGAGTTCGAGACATAGTGAGAACCCTGGTCTCTACTAAAAACACAAACAATTAAGGATTGAGCGGTTGGGGTGGGGCCCCACGCAGCCTTGTGGATCCCAGCTACTCGGAGAGGCTGAGGCAGGAGAATCTCTTGAACCCAGGAGGTGGAGGTTGCAGTAAGCTGAGATCGTGCCACCTGCATTCTAGCCTGGGCAACAGGG